GAGTGAGTTTCACATGACGTTAGGGTCTGTGCTTTGAGGCAATCATATGGACGACTGAATTGTTGTCAAGTGTTTGTCAAATAATAATCATATTTTGTATCATTGATTACAAAGTGTTTTGAATCGCTTCTCAACGCTATTCAAAGGCATTAATAATCCGTACGATATGTGGATATCAACCAAATTAGACCAAACGTGTTATATTGACCAGTGTTTCAATGAACTCATCACTGAATGCCGTCTCTCAGGTAATCTACACTCACTTACACTTTCACTCATTTCCATATTCACACCATTACCTCAACACTGACCACACCATCATATGATCATATGATCATCACCTCAATCCTCAACAAAATAACACAATGCAAAGCCTACGAGATCTCTGTCACTATGAGTACAGTCTATTCCAGGTTATAGTTACTATTAATGCAAATATTTGGTTACGTGATTCATTTAGAACATGCTCATTTACCAAAAATCATAAAAATCAAGTATGTTAATGAACAAGTTAGATTAATTTTTAAATACAGTAAATATTATAAATTATAATAATGTTTAGAAACATAGTTTGTGATAACGATATTCAAAGTGAACATGCTCAATTCTATCGCCTAAATTAAAACAATTAGTAACTAAATTAAAATCAAAAGGATTACAAGAAATGGTATATTTTAAAAGCGAAAAACTGTTTTATAGTGTAAAATACTTGTTTGATATTCTCAGCGCTGAAGGCTATCATCACAAACATTGAAGAGTGAGAGCGAGAGAAAGGATGAAGTATTTGAGAGAACCCTTGAGTCTTGACATCAAAACTATTTTTTAAATTTGTCTCTCTTTAAAAATCAAGGATTTGCTGCAACTTTTAATTCTCAGCACTTATTTATAGCATTTTCGCACATTTACACCAAAACTTATCGCAATCCTTTGTCTCGTTATAACTTATGTTACTGTAGTTATAAGTTATAACCGATTTTATTTAATACATATAAAATGGTTTAAAATATAATTAAATATTTAAATGAAATGTATATACCTTTCCATTTTGGTGTACAATCTTTGATCACAGATTTAATGCAAATACTCGTCGACCGATACTTTAGAATTGAATTCTATAAACGAAAGCATAGATTAGTTGAATACTTCACTTAAGCGTCTATACGTCTATAAAACGGATGAATTGATCACAAGAAACATTTAACACAACTACACAAACGATATACCGTTTTATTGTAAATATTTGGGATTTTCACTCGTTTTAGTAAACATCTGAATGATAACTAATAATTTGAGGAAAACTTTAAATTTTATATGAAAAAAGTTATCAATTGTTTAA